GATGCTAAAAATGTCTCCTTGTCAATAAATGCTACACAGAGAGACAGCATGCTCCCAGAAAACAATATCCATTAAAATGCCATTTTCAACATTATAAACAATATGACACACTTGATTCAGTGTAGGGAAAGGCATACTATGCCCCGGACCTAAAAACCCCAGATGGTTCTGGCTAATTACTTGCAAGGGCTAACTTGCTCTTAGCTTATTATCTCTCAATCACTCCAGAAAATAGGGGGAAGCCACACAGCTCAGAGGCAAAAACCCTCATTCTTTAGCATTTCTAGGGAAGTCACAGGATGGTCCCTTCTGAAACTCCAGAAACTCTTCTAATCAGTGTAGACCAGTGTAGTTCTGATCATGATAGAACCCAGTGTGGAAGGGAATTGCTCATGTGTGTGTGAGAGAGACAAAGCCCTACCCAGCGGGGCTGAAAATTAGAAGGCACAGTGCCCACAACAAAACAAAGCAACACAACGCCAAAACAAAACAAGATGAATCTTTGGGGTCCCTTCCCCATTTCAATTTGCTATCATTTTGATCAAAAAAAGAGGGCCTTCTGCTTCTGAAAGCTTTCAAAATCACCAGTTTTGCAGCCAGATTCTGCCAAGCCCTGCACTCTCCGAATTGTCTTGCCAATCATTTTGTTTTCATTCCTCCTCCAATTTTAGGGCATTTTCCATGATGGCTCATGGTGCCTCCTGGGGGGTAGACATTGGTCCATGGCCTCCCTGATCCTGACCATTCCTGTGTACTCAATCCAAGGTAGTGACTGAATGTAGCCCAGTTTCTTCTATTTTCACCTATGTTTTTAGTATTGCTGGTAGGAATAAACATACAGTAGTATGGTATCTTCAAAATGCTACTTCACAATTTCTTAGAAGGTAAGAATTAAGAAAATGAGAGTACAGGGAAGTTACACTTAAGCCTATTTTTAATTTATACTTTTATGCCTTTTTAGAAATTTTGTTATGGTGAAATAGCTAACATGCCTACTTCTGCAAAAACTATAAATCCTTAGGTGCTGTCCCTGAGGACAGGCAGCAGGCTTATCAAAAATTCTGTGTTTCGCCTGAGCAGCTACTGTATTAGAACAGTCTCTCCATCATCTCTCCATAACTAATAGCACTAATCATTCTAAAAACACTAACTCAGAAATATACAATGCTCATTTCCAGTAAATGAGTATAGAATTGCTGTCTAAAATGTTTAGATTTTAAATTGAAAGCAGAAAAATCATGAAAAGATATTTGACAGAGCAGCCTTCCACAGTCCTGCAACAATAATCCATGGAAAATCGGGAATTTCTAAATATTCTAAACAACCCAGGGGTTCTGCACTTGGATTTTAGATATATTTATATTTAATCTATATGACTTATAGGAAAACATCTTGTATGTCCCAAATTAGGCTCTTCCAAAGACCATCAAAGAATAGTGATTTCTACAAGCCTGGTCAACCTTAGTTTTTGTGCCATTATTTTTACAAATAAGTCTCATCTCCTCTCCCTTCACTTTTGTTTTACTACCCTATATCACAACATGTGACCTTTGAAATTAACAAATAGAAATGGCTAGCCAAAGTAACATTTTTAATGAAAAAAATGCAAATACTCTTTTGTACTTACACTAGAGGCTATGCTTTGTTCATTCACAGAAAATCTAAAGGCTTGCTGTCCAACTGCCTTCATATCAAGGCTGCAATCCTACACACCCATTACAGAGAAACACATTTCATTTGAAGTCAATGGGAATGTTTCTCTGGTGACATGCAAAGTGCTTCACTGTTAAAAGTGATCACAATGCATATTTTTAAAACACTCGTAGCATCACTCTCCCACTTTTAATTTACACATTATTTTTTCCCTTTGACTGTGGATCTTAAATTATGTTGAGGTAAATGGACTGTCCTATAGGATGGATAGTAGAGCAAAAATGTCACTCTGCTAGATGCTATTTTATGTTTAAACTCTTATGTACCATTACGCAAGGATACACTGTAACATGCAATAAACAAGACTATAAATCACACAAGTCCAGGTAGGACAATGGATATGGCACAGACAAGGAAGTAATGAAATTTTTTTTTTGCTACAGATTTCATTATACAACCAACTGGACTGGTACAATTTGAATGGCTTTCACTCAGATACTGTTTTAAGCACAATAATTGGGTGGCTAAAAAGATTTCTTAGTGTTTACAAAGCTGATGTTGAAGCTTAACAGTCTAGTAATTTGATATATGCAGACAGCAATGACGCACTGCAGACAAGGCCTTTTGTCCAGAAATTTGCTAGGAATTAGAATTATCACAAATATTTAATGAAATAGGTCCAGTGAACTATAAGACAGGTTAATACAAAGACAATGTACCTGATAGTTTAAATAGGGTGAGAAGCTTTTGAAATGGTGCCAAGACCGACAGCTTGTAGATAGAAGTGTTACGTTGCAAAACAATGTGATAACAGAAGACAAGGATATAGTAACAGTTTTAACAGATACTACTGGGTGTGTGCAAAGATACTCTTTTTGCAGAGGAGGAGGTGAAATAAAAAAAATCCTAATTATACATAATTGAAAGAAAGGAGCTAATTGGCATCATAATGACACCACTGAACTGTGAAAGCCACACTGCAGGCTGAAGGCACGACACTGCTACTGTGCAAAGATAAAGCTGGTTGCTATGCATGTACACAATATTACAAAAGACAGCTCACTTCTTGATGTTCCCTTCTGTACATAATCCCAAATATTTCTGAAACTGTCTTTGACTAATCACAGACAGGTGCTTAAGTACAAACAAGGTTTTTTAATTAAGGTTTTTTGCCAATTAGGGCACTGGGGAGAAAAAGGCCATTGGGATAAGAATAGATAAAGCTTTAATAACAATCCATGTTCATAGACATATCTACAGCTAGGCACTAGCTGTCTGTTGTTGTTTAGTTGTTGTGTCCAACTCTTCATGACTGCATGGACCAGAGCATGCCATGCCCTCCTGTCTTCTACTGCCTCTCAGAGTTTGGTCAGATTCATTCTGGTAGTTTCAATGACACTATCCCACCATCTCGTCCTCTGTCGTCCCCTTCTCCTCTTGCCTTCACACTTTCCCAACATCAGGGTCTTTTCCAGGGTGCCTTCTCTTCTCATGAGATGGCCAAAGTATTGGAGCCTCAGCTTCAGGCTGTGAACATTCATGACTGATTGCCTTCAGAATGGATAGGTTTGTTCTTGCAGTCCCGGGGACTCTCAAGAGTCTCCTCTAGCACCACAATTCAAAAGCATCTGGCAGTCAGCCTTTTTTATGGTCCAGCTCTCACTTCCATACATCGCTAGTGGAAAAACCATAGCTTTGACTATGTGGACCTTTGTCGGCAGGGTGATATAGTTGTCTAGTAGCTAGTCTAATATAGCTGTCTAGCAGCTACTCTATATTAGACTAGAGGTCTACAGCTAATCTAATATAGAATAGACTAGCTGTCTATATTTATACATAGCTGTATCAGGATAGAATGGGTTTATAATGTATCTACAGATGGAACCTGCTAATCACTTGCAATGTCATCACATAATTTTCTAAAATTAGATTAACTGAGATCCAGAGATGCAATAAGCACTCAAGGAAGGGCCTGGAGGAATAAATCAGAAATTTTTGGTCTCCAATCTCCAGCACCATCCTATTGCAATAAATTCAAGGAAATCTGTCCAAGATTTCAAAGGTAGTTTGGCAAGCAGTACAAGATAGGTTGCTGTCATTAGCAAGTTGTTGGTAAGTGGCATAATAGTTTTGGAGGTATGTGAATTATTTAAGGAATACTTTTACTACTGACGTCCCTCCATGAGTTTCTACTGCTGAGTGAGATTTGAACCCAGGTTTATTGAGTCCTAGTCTGTCATTTTGTTGATTACACTCCACTGGCGTTCATATTCCTAAACCATCATCTGAAAAAGGGAGTGCTGAAGTTTGTGCTGTGGTCCTTAGTGTTGTTTTTTAAAGGCCATGATTGTTTTAAAAATTTGGCTAAGTATTCCACTGTTTAAACTCCCTTGAAAACAGATAGCAGACTGGTTTGTCAACCATGCATCCTGCCACACTTCATCTCAGACCAATTCATGGTACACAATGTGGCTTGCACATACAATGCTATACTGGCAACAGTGTTCTTGCTGAATCACAGATTAATCCAGACTACTGTGCTAGCAAGACATCCTGGATCAGTTTGTGACGGCATTCTGCCTAAAACACAAAGCTAAAACAAGGGCCACTGTTGTTATGTTCAGTTCTAAACAGCTCTTTCACATAACTCTGCACTGGGTTACAGTCAGTTCTTGAAATGGAAACAGAGCAGATTGATGCTATAAAAATAAGAGGTATGGAATGCATTATGAATGTCAATAGCAAGATATGTATTATCATTGTCCATTAAGAGTGAATATCATGCTCAATTTACTGTGAACAAGCACTTTGCATGAGAGCTTGGCACTGGCTGAAATTCTGTTGTGCAGTAACGTAAATGGTGTTATTTTCAGAAGTGAACTGCTGTAAGTTAAGAAATCGCTATAGATATCTGTTGCATGTGGAGTCACATGACTGCCAGTAACAGATGATATCTACAGAAATTTCTTAACTTACAGCAATTGACTTTCAAGCATGTAGCTTATGCAACAGGATTCCAGCAATTATTGCGCAAATTACTGTTTGGTAACACTGTGCATAAAGCTGTTCATATAGTACAGTACAAGCTTAGATCTTTGAACTGTTCACAAATTCCACATGAAATTTTTCAAAACAGAAGAAGCCTGTATATTCTGACAGAATAATACTAATCACATTGGTTACCTATAGTAGCTCAGCTGTGTTAAGGATTGCTAAGAATAATACATCTAGTATTTTGAAGCACAAGCTGTTTAATTTTTGAATTTTCCTCCTCAGCTGAAAACACTTACTTAACATGGTCAAATGCCAGGTAACAATTTGGGAGTGAGCCACTGCACACGTTTCTGTGAACATGAAATATCAAAGCTTTAGCATTTATTTTCTATAGTGTGAGTTTTTAAGTGGTTATATTTTATGGACACAGACACACATATATACCTACCATACATATGCACTACCAGGTTGCAACAAAAATAAATAATGAGAAATAGTATAATAGGGGGAGATTAATTTATAGTTTAATATAAAATGAAAACACAATACAAAGCCAAGAACTAGTCTGCTTAAAAACAAGATTTAAAAAGTACTAATCTTCAGGATAGGCCCAAGGGCAAGGAGGCAACGATCCACGCTGCCCACACAACTTGGCTTTGGATCCTGGTTTCTATTTTCTCATGCAGAGGTGATTTCTTCCAAAAGCCAGCGCCAAGCTACACTAACAGCGACCTCAACTGGGCAGAGAAGGGAGTGTCTTCCAACAGTACACTAACTAGAACATGCCAGAAATGCAAGGCTCATGCTAACAGGCTGTGTCCACAGTAATCCTGACTTCGGGATTCCCTTCCATCCCTGCCACCCAGAGGTAAGAGACAGAGAGATGAATGGAAACAGACTTTTCTATATATAGCACTTATATATTTTATAATACTTTAGGCATTGGTCTCATAAATAAAGAGTATAAAAATTGCTCATGCGAAGCAATTCAAAATGTTCCCCATCCAACATGCTTATTCCAAAATTACTGACAACAACTGAAGCCTGCCAGTGGTCAGGTTCATTTTGGTCAGGTTCATCTAGAATTGTTACTATTGTTTTAATGAAAAGGATAGTAAGGGATTTCTTTAAAATGTGCCTGTTTTTCTCTAAAATAATTATGTTTAAAATGTAAGATTGTCTAAGGCTTAGTTTGCTCCTCTTTTTTCAAAAAAGAACATCTTATTTGTTTTTCTAAATATATCAACAGTAAATAATAAAAGTGCAATTAAAATTGGGAACTAGATAGGTTGATTTGGTCTCCCCCCCCCCATTTCATTATTTTTGCAACCATCTACAAATCAGCTCTTCATTCCATACTTTGAAGAAGCAACAATGAATGCAGTAAGGCTTATAGCAACAATGATGAGGAGTGTAGAAATGAATTAAGAGTTTACATTTCTATCCACAGGACTTGCCCGCTCCTACAAGAATTCTTGAAAGTGCTAGTTTTCCTCCCTCCCACCCTCCCTTTACAAAAAATGGCAAAATTTTGTTTACAAAAACTATGAAATATCAAGTCTTACAATTTGTATACTGAAGTCTCTTTTGCACATGGCTAATGCAGAAATTAAAGATGATTCCCTCTGAGTACAAGAGTAAATCTGTATGTTGTACACAAGGAAACAGGTTTGACAGCAAGACCACGGTTGTCTCCTTAGCATCTGTAAATATGTCAGAGCTGGTCCATTTTGGGGTCTATGAACATCAGGCAGACAGGAATCCAATATCATTAAGATATACTTAAAACAAACCCTTAACTTCCAAGGCCAAATACTTTGTAAAAGGTAGTCTGATATATTATAATATCAGTCAACAGCAGCTGCGTTTTGTCACTGAAGGCTGTCTTCTAAGTTTGAAGCCCTTACCACTAGAAGGAGGGCTGGTATCTGTTGATGGAATCCTACGACCTACGAGAGCAAAAAAAGCAAGTTTTATGAAAATGATCCAGAAAGTCTTTTGCCTAGTATTGCCTTTTTTGCCAGAAAGGTTAGTATTATGAGGAAGTACTATGCACTTGATACTGTCTTAAATACTACTGGCATAAAAGCAATCAGTTTCAAAACCTTATGCAATATTTAGTTTCTTCTAAATGCTGGAATAAAAACAGTCTATTCAGAGGCATTCCATAAGGTAGAAGGATAGCTACACAAAAGTAGGCAACCCTCATATTGCTGTAGGTGCCCTCCCAAAGGCAAACACTCTTGTAAATACTCAGGTTATATATTTTCTGGGTAACAATTATTTAAATTGTGTGAAATGCATCTTATAAGCAACATTATTTAAGGGATAATGACTCAAATTTGAAAACAAATCCAACTATCTTTTCACAGATGATTTAACTATGATTTGTTTTACAGTGGTATGATGAAGAATAGGGGTGGAAAGCCCTGGAAAAAACTGGAAACATTTGTGCTTCAATAACCCCCCCCCCATTTCATCCTGGAAAAAATTCAATTTTTCTACTGGAAAAAAAAAATGAAACTTTGGGGAAATAAAGGGGGGGAGCAAAGTGTGCTGCTTATATACCGCTCCACAGCACTTAAAGCACTCTTTGGGTGGTTTACAAATTAATTATGCAGGCTACAATTCCCACCCCCCCGAGCTGGGTACTCATTTTATGGACCTTGAAAGGATAGTAGGCTAAGTCAACTTTGAGCTGGCTGCCTGGGATTGAACCCCAGGTCGTGAAACAGTTTTGGCTGCAGTATAGCAGTATTTTACAGGAGCTGTCTCCAGAAGGCTCTGTAAAATACAGTGAAATAAAGTACACTGAAATAAAGTTCAATGTACTGTCCTCTCTTCCAGAATATGCAAAATACTTCTAAAGATTTTACTTATTCAAAATACCAGACACTACATACTATGCCAATTGGTATTTAAGATTGCCTAGAGAATTACAGAATGAAAATTCCTGTGCATATTGTAGCCATGTACACACTACACTCAAATCCAATCAATATACATTCCTGATCTATATACAGTGGTGCCTCGCATAGCGAGGTTAATCCGTTCTGGATTAACCTTCGCTATGCTGAAGCATCGTTGAACCCATTGGAACGCATTAAACATCGTTTAATGCGTTCCAAAGGGGCCAAATACTCACCGTTCAGCGAAGCTTCGTAATGGCCGGCAGCCATTTTCGCGTCCTCGCCTTGCTTAACGAGGGCGCGAAAACGCTGCGCGCGGCCATTTTGGGCCATTTCCGGGCTTCCGGCGGCCATTTTGGCCGCCGAACAGCTGATGGTCGGGCTTCGTTTTGCGAAGATCAGTAAGCGAAACGCTTACCGGTCTTCGCCAAGCGAATTTAGCCCTATTTTAAAAATGTTAAGCGATCGCATTAGCGATCCAAAAAAACGGATTGCTATGCGATTTCATCGTTATGCGGTGCACTCGTTAAGCGAGGCACCACTGTACATTCCTGATCTAGTGTGTTGCCACCTTCAAGAGTGGAATATAAAGATCAAGGTGGGGCTTCACTGCATATTGATGCTGCTTCTAGTGACCTCTGTTCTATTTCAGTAGATATAGTCAGAGTACAAAGAATCATTATTTGAATTTAAAAGTTAAGGTTTGTTTTCATTTTCCTCCTGCTTTTCAGAGTTGCAAAAACTAAACTAACAGTCACCTTACTTATATAGCCCAGAATGCAGCAGTATGCAGCTCTCTTTAGTACAGAATATATGCATAATTCTGCTTGCACAGAACCAGAATTTTTATATTTCAGCTTCATATATTCACCAAACAGTGCAATTTTTACACAGTGGACTCTCGACTTACAAAGGCCCCTGCTTATGGAAATTTCGAGGTACGAAAAGCTCCGACCTCAAAATTGTAGTTCAACTTGCAGCCGGAGCTTCAACCTGCGAAAGGCAGGGGGAAAGGGCTGGAGATTCAAAGCAGCCCCTGCTGCCCTCTTGTCTCCTGACTTACAAGCCGAAAGCCGCTCCGCACCCGCTGCCAGCTTTTGGCTTTCAGGGCTTAGAAAGCTGCACCCACTGCCCTCTTGTCTCCTGTCCCCGGTGCCCTCTGCTGGTGATAGGTGACATGAGATCGCCTGTCCCCGGCAGATGGCACCAGGGATCTTTATCAAATGATTACAAATAAGAAAAATGAAGTATAAATAAATATGAAATATGAATGAAATATGTACAACTAGTAGAAACAAAAATTCAAGCTAAAATAAGTCTTAAGTTTTTTTCTGCTATCTTTAAATGGGTATGAGTGAAGACAAATCACATTGATTTATTGATACTTAATACTTACTAATTTCTATAAAGAGCTCATTTATGTTTATTGCATTTTTTGCACTTGTCTCTACAAATACTGCATGGATGGAGTCTGCATAGTCCTTAGCATCCTTTTCCATGACTTCTCTACAGGAATTGCCAGGGGTGAGTTGAGGGAGAGACAGAAAGGGAGGAGGAGGAGGGAGAGAGAAAGTAAGTAAGCATTCATTAAATAAAGCACACTGGTTTATTCCAATTTTAGAAACAAAAAAAGCAGTTACCATTCAAGGCAGCACTAGAATCTATTTCAGCATCTAATCAAAAACTTGCCAAAAGTGATATGTAAATACAACAAAAGGCATAAGGGAAGGTAACAGCGTTCCGTGTCTAAGCCGCACTGGCCATGTGACCACGGAAAGATTGTCTTCGGACAAACGCCGGCTCTACGGCTTGGAAACGGGGATGAGCACCAGCCCCTAGAGTCGAACACGACTGGACAAAAATTGTCAAGGAGAACCTTTACCTTTTACCTTAATAGTATAAATATTTGTACTAAATTCTTGTGCAGCAAAACGCTGTTCACATTTAAGTGGTCAAGTAGCAAAGATGGCGGGCCCAATAACAGGTAATTGTCACAATGGACACCAAAAGTTCCTCATGGGTGAGCCAACAGGAACTATATGAAGGTGGAATTCTCCTCCCATACCGCACCCTTCAGTCACTTTAGAATCAGAAGCACAAAGCAATGATCACTACAAATGAGACAGAAGAGAGTTCTAGTAGTACAACCGAACAGATGTAATACCTCTTCTCACAAACCAAACAACCAGCCACTTGGGTAAACATCCTACAATTAATAAAAGCCAGGCCTCTAAATCTGGAAACTAAATATAGACAGTGATAGTCAGGACAGAGTTTTACCCCACACTGATTCTCAGAGGGCTAAAGCAGTTTACCTCACATCATTAAGATCACACTTATTTCCAGCAATAGCTACAACAATATTGGGAGGTCCGTGCAACTGTCATCGTTAAGTGAAGCATGGTCCCGAAATCGTTAAGCGAAAATTGACCATAGGGAAAATCGTTAAGTGAAGCACAAGATCTCTCAGAAAAAGCCATCGTTAAGTGAATTTTTCGTTGTAAGAAGCAATCGTTAAGCGAGGCACCACTGTATAGACAGTGATAGTCAGGATAGAGTTTTACCCCACACTGATTCTCCGAGGGCTAAAGCAGTTTACCTCACATCATTAAGATCACACTTATTTCCAGCAATAGCTACAACAATATTGGGAGGTCCGTGCTGGCGAAGTTCTTTCACCCAGTTCTTTAATGTTGAAAATGTTTCCTAAAATGGAAGAGACAAGAGTCCATTTTGTGTAAGGCCAAAAATATGGCAAATGCACACTTTTTTTTCAAATATCTCTCACATACCTCTTTTGTGATGTCATACACAATAATAGCTGCTGCAGACCCTCGGTAGTACATTGGTGCAAGAGCACGAAACTGTAAAGAAAAAGACCATGTAAAAATGGCTTCTGAGCCATTTTGAAATCATACATGGAGGAGGAGGAAGAGATAGAAAGTATAAGCTATAATATTGTCATGGGATTAAAAATATGTGTGCCTTTTAGTGAATCTGAAGGTGCAATCAGGTCATGGGAAGGGCAGACATGTGATCACACCAGAAAGGGTTGCTTTGGAGGGAGTGATTTCCCTCCAAGTGACCCTTTCATCTCTCAGGGAATCTCTCTAGTCTCTCTCCCTGCCCCCAATAGCAGCTCTAGAGCTGGACCAAAAAGGTCCAATTTGATCAGGGTCAGGCTGGAAATAGATTTTTTCCAGACTACTCCACAAGTAGTCCAAAAAAATGTGATCACACTTTTAGTTAACAATCAGTACATTTTTACTTTCCAAGATCTTTAAGGGGATTGACATGGCCATTCATTCATTCATTCATTCATTTGATTTATATATTGCCCCTTTAGTATGAGCATTACTCTTGGCAGTTTACAGATTAAAACTTAAAACCCCACAAGACCCCACATGACAATGCATTCAACAATATGGCAATTCATAGATATAGATCTAAAATTCATTCAAAAAGAAAAAATAATGTTTTGAAAATTAATATTAATAGGATCTTGGGGATCAGTTATTGAAGTCAGTGTTGTATAATTCTGTTTTCACCAGTTTCCTGAACATCAGGAGGAAAGGAGTATGGCGTATCTCGGTTGGTAGTTTATTCCAAAGGCTCAGGGCCACCACTGAAAAGGCTCAATTGCTTGTTGTTGGCTTTTTTGGCCTCCTTCAGTGTGGCCACTTTTAGAAACATGCATTCTCTATATACAGTACTTGATTGTAGCATATGAATCTGCCCAGCATTTGTAAGTCTGCAGACAACTTCTGTCCCATTCTAACTATACAACAACCTTGTCAATTAATTTAGATACAGAAAAGGTGATAAGCTCAAAGTTGCCCAGGTTTCACTGATAAACAAGTTTCTGAACCAAAGTCTCCCTTGGTAAATACAAAGGGAGAAAAGAATTGATCATTCTCTCTTGATATTCTCTCAAAGGACAAATTTAAGCCACATCTGTAGATGTGCAATGACAATAAGTAACATCACTGGCTTGGCTAATTAATTAGCTTTAAAAGCTGCTGATCAGTGGTGCTATTTTGAGGAAACATCCTCCCCCCCATTTCCAATCACATGATTATTTTACAGGATTTCTGATTGTTTTTGAAGTACAAAAAGGAATTGAAACAAATGCTATCTATAGTCTTTTTTTTCTTTTCTTGGAATTTGCACTTGAAGTATCTAAGAGTGCATCAATAAACCTCACCTATGGTTCTCCTTCTGTGAAACACCCTTGGGTTCTTAAGTCACACAGATTTGCCTGGTCCCTGAAGTGTATAAACTTCATTGCAATGAACAAGTTATGGATCAGCTGAAACACTCTCAGCTGAGACAGAATAATTATGAGCAAACTGGTGCATTCACCAGAACTGTATAAATATCTGCTTTTTTCCTTACAAATTCTGTGTAAACATTCTAACACTGAATATCCTACATTAAAACACAGACACTATTTGGGTATATTAAAAATTAATTTATTATGGCAGACACATTAGTCAGTGAGAACATTCCATATAGCGCATGAGACACAGCTAAGCTTACTGCGATCTCAGCAAATTGCTGGATGCAAGAGCCGCCTTGGATCCTCTCGTCCTTACAAATTCTGTGTAAACATTCTAACACTGAATATCCTACATTAAAACACAGACACTATTTGGGTATATTAAAAATTAATTTATTATGGCAGACACATTAGTCAGTGAGAACATTCCATATAGCGCATGAGACACAGCTAAGCTTACTGCGATCTCAGCAAATTGTTGGATGCAAGAGCTGCCTTGGATCCTCTCGAAGAGAAAGGCGGGGTAAATATATTTTAAATGAATAAAATAAAGACTAAATAAAGAGGTTACAGCTCAGTGGAAAAACTTCTGTTTTGTGTGCAGCAGGTCCCCCAGTTCAATTCCTGGCATGTCTGAAACCTTAGTGATACACTGTCAGGGTGTGTTTGTAACATTGTGCTGTATGCACAAATAGTCTGTCTGGTTTAATATAAGACAGCTTTCTGTGACTCTAAAATAACACAGAAGGACTTAGTGAAAACAAAGCTAAGGAGACATTTTCTTGCAGCCAGCCCTAGGCCAATGCCTGCCCCTGGCCTTCAGTATAAAATTCATCACCTCAAATACTGAATTCCCACTCAGCCATGGAAATTCACTGGGGATGTGCAACTCGTAAAATCACTCCTTAAATATTTCACTTACCTTGAAAGCCCTATTAAGGTCACTATAAATTAGCTCCAACTTGATGGCACATAACGATAAATCATCAGTTTTCATAAGCCATCCAATCCAATAGTAAAGACATAATGGCTGAAATCCTCTTCCATAGCTACATATGCATGACTCAACATTATGCACGGAGTTGCTTCAATTATGCCAAAGTAGAAGTGCTATTCACAAAGTACTTCTGCAGGTGCATTGTAATAGATCACAATGGAAAATTTATTCAGGGGTAATGTTATATTACACCTAAACAAACAGGAGTCCATCCAATGCTGCATGTTTAGATACAGCCATGGATAAAACATGTTTATTCAATTAATTATTGACTTACCTCTCCACACCATCTGGCAACCAGGCCACTCTGGGCGGCTAACAACAATATGTGCAACAATATAAATCACAATAAAAAAATAAATGTTCTTCTCAGCTTAATCCATTTCCAACCTAAGCACATATAGAGGTACCGTAACTGTGGCTGTTCTATACATAAAACCCAGAAAATATTGTCTAAATGAAGTCAAATGCACACAAATCATTAGAATTAGAGGAACGGCATATCACATTAATTGGGGTATGAAGAAATTAGTTTGCATTTCCCTTTGTGTTCTGGTAAATTTAAAATCAAGAAAAATGAGCTCTAAAATGCATTATTTAAATGGATGCTGCACTGAGGGGAAGGAGAAAGATTTTGTAAGTAAGTGCGAATTCAAAACTATGCAAGTTTAGGGAGTAACGGAAGCAGCTAACTGATGTTACTGGTTGCTTACAACAACAAGTGGGGAGGTTGTTCCTTAAATCACTAGCTTATTGGCAACACTTCGTTGTAGGTGAAAAACAATATAAACAATTTGTCAAATGACTTTAGCCAAAACACAACTGTTTTATAACAGTCTTACAGAAAGCAGTTGGGATGGGATTTTTGTGTTAACACATAAATGGGAAAAAACATGGAAGGCTCTCATTTTCATGTCTTTTTTGTTCACTTGTGATAACAGCCTCTGTGAGCAGAAAGGATTCGTGTTAATGAAAGATAGGAATACAAACATTTCTTGTTCTTTTCTGTTTGTCTTTTTTGTTTTGCCTTTCATTAATGTCTCACTGTCTGTCAAATTGTTTCCTGCTCTTTCAAGCAGGTGGTGAAGGTGGAGAGAAGAATAATTAAGGTTTTGAAATTCAAGCCATCTCCACCTTGCTACTTTTCTGTCCTTCATTGATAGATGCTTTGTTTGTTTGCACCTTAACTATCCCGGAGTATTCAAACACAATCCCTCCCCAATATGGGCAGTCTTGAGGGTGAAGAAACTAATGAGTTGCCTTCTTCTTCATCATCATCTTAGAACTGCAGAGCTGGAAGGGATCCTATGGCTCATTGAGCCCAGCTCCTACCAAGAAGGCACAGTGGGGAATCTAACTCCCAACCTTTGGCTCGGGAGGCAGAGACCTAAACCACTGAGCGATCCAGCAGTTCAATTGTCCAGGTTCTCCCTTGTAGTCCCTTGGATGTCACTGCTTTTTGTGCCTTTCGGGGAGGGGCTGGGGGTGGCAATCTAGTAATTCAAACTTTTGTCACAGTCAAATTATCTCTGGTGTGTGTGTGTGTCTTTCCAAACATTTAAATAATTCACCTACAAAATGGGAAAATGCTGATTGATTTTGAAGTGCTACCCCAGAGAAAAACATGTAACCCTAACAGGGACAGAGCCTCCATAGCTTGGTTTTAAGTGCTGGGGAACAAAATTATATTAGACCCATGGGGGGGGGGAGGCTGCAGAGAACTCTAGAAACTTCTGAGATATCCTGTGCAGGTGCAGAACCACCCATTTGTGTGCATTCACAGAGGCCACGAAGAAGAACCAAAAGACATACCCCGGAAATAAATCAGTCTAAAAAAATACTTTTTCCCATGTACATTTCTGAACCCAGTATATCTGAACTACGTGTGATATTCATCTTATTTAATGCATGTTCATTTCTTTTTCCTATGGAGTACTGCATTATTTTATGCTTCACATCTTTTTCACTACACTGCTTGGAGAAGACTGCAATGTTTATTGAGCTAGCAGTATTTCATAGCAGGACAAATCACACGCATATAAAACGGGAATGCAGTGAGTACAAAATATGTCAGTTATAGTTATTTTGAAAATAACCTTACTATAGTCAGTAAGGGTAAGGGAATACAAACTAATTGGAAAAAGAAAAAGATGGAGGAATAAATGAAAAAACTACAACAAAATAAAGCAAGATTTCTTTTATAAAAGCACCTGAAACATTTGTATTTAAATGGAAAATTGGGACTATGATGGACTTTAGAAAAACAGAGAAATACAGAAATAATGTTTTAGTTTTGTGCATTTAATTGTTTCATTTATAGGACACCTTTCACCAGTAAGGGGACGCAAGGTGGCTTCACAGTAAAAGCACAATAAATTACAAAATTTAAAAAAAAGTTAAACATAAAATAATTAAAATCAATTCATTGTTGTTTTATTAATTCAAACCCATTTAGAAAGTTTAAAAACAGATACAAAAGAACAAAAACACAGCATCCAAAGACTGAACCATCATTATTTAAAAGTCTGCCTGAAGAGGCAGGTCTTTAACTCTCAGCAAAAAAGATGAAAGGGAGAGGAGCAACCTAATCTATTTTCGGTGACTTCCCCCTTTGCCTCCATGGCTGGAATCATACTTGGCCATGGCTTTTATCCCCAGCTTTTAGCCTCATATACGTTTCCTTATATTTTTGGTTATGCTATGCTTGTCATAAAAATGATCCCTGAATACTGTACTTGCTAGACAGAGGAGGAAAGCAGCAATGCTGAGTCAGAGTGCTGACAAGTACAGTGCTATTTCCATTGTAAAAGCTTAGAAGAACAAAAATTTTTACTTCAAGAGTAAAAATAGAAAAGAGGATCCAATATTTTTCCTTCCTGAAAATACTGCAGAATCAGTTGCACAGAGATGGGCTTTACATATAAGGATTCCAAAGCTTATGTTCCTTCAACTGGCTAAAGAGATTAAAGATGAAACTAAAGACTGTTTCAGCATTAAATGAAAATCCTGTACCAACTAGCTACGTGCTTTATACAGTATATATTTTGGGGGAAGGGGGAGGAAGAATACATGATTAAAATTTCCCAACACTAACAACAAAGAAGAAAGCACACTCTTGATCTCTGGATAAGGCATCTATTTAGTGCTTAAGAGGAACAAAATTCTGAACAGTACCCACTCCAACAAGCATCCACCCAGTGAGTAAGAAATGTACTTTGTGAATAAGCTGCAGACTTATTCACTCTCATGCTATATTTCTTGAAGAAGATATGGATTGCCATGTGAGAGTAGGGCATCTGTGTGACAACAGAAACTGGACACTTTCTCTGTGTGAATTGGGTCAAGAAGAGATTGAGACTTTAGCTTTTTACTGCAATACTGATCACAAAGAGATCCTTCAAAAAAGCCAAGAACATACTAGATATGTAGAACAACTAGAAAAATAAGAAAATGTAATTACCTCTGCATACTTAAAAAAAAGCAACAGAAGAATATGCATCATAACAGCACATCATGTACAGGGAAGGACAGATGTGTAATTGGAAACAGAATGGACAGAGAAAGGAATGACTGTTCTCTTGTTTTCTTGAACAGCAAGTTCACAAATGGCAATGCTTCAAATGCAGATAACACAAATTCTTCTTGTGTACACAAAGTATACCTACCGTATCATTGTCAAGATTTCAAAGCCACATGACACTCATACATCCATAGCTATTTAAACCTGAAGGCTAAGAGATGCTACTTACTAAACCTATACAATGTGCAGCCACACCATCATAGATACACAAATCATATCTTTGTCATTACTGTATATTGAAGGGCTCTATTTCTTATCTGTATATTGCAGCATACATTTGAGATTGCTCTCAGGTTCATAATTTTGGTTTTTCATATCTGGGGAACTAGCATTATAAACTGTGCATTATGAAAACAATAGTTTAATTCATATATACACTTGAATGAATTATCTTAAAATTACAGTTAAAAAGGGGTGAATTTAACCAATATATCCATACAGATCTTTTACCCCAATACATTCCTACATAGTCTTAGTAATCAAAGAAACAAAAATAAAGATGCTCTACTTCTGAATTCCTTATTGATAATTTAAATAGTGGCCATGTGTTGGTGGCTACAGCACAATAAGGAAAGTTTTAGCAAAGTATAAACTCGCAATATTTGTAACTAGCAGAAAAAAACATGGTTCTCTATTTTTATCATACACTTACACAAAGGTTTGGTCACTCTCCCTTGTAAAAAAGAAGCCAGTGGCTTATGTACTTACTCGCTCTTGTCCAGCTGTATCCCATATTAGGAACTTATGTAACTCATTCTGATACTGTACAGTCTTGGTCATAAAAGATGCTCTGAAACATATTTAATGTATCAATGTATCAAAAAACAAACAGATAATCATGGTAAACAAGAGTTCTCCCCAAAAATACTGAGAATAAGGAAGATTTTATTTTATAGACACTACAACATGCAGACACGCACAAACAACTCTTATACATCAGGCTACATATCTATAAATGTCACTAGTTTAACAATGCAAGTTGAAGGGGTTTTTTTACATCATGTTTTCTGTCTCTGCTAGTAGAGAAAGAGCACAGCAAGGCAGGAAAAGTATTTCAGCAATGGTCCTCCTTACCTCTGGCATTGTCTCCTGCAGCTACTTTTAGAAGTCTACGTGTAGCATGATTTGGCTACAATTAGAGATGTCAAGAATTGTGATTTGACTTTTTTCTCAATTCAAGCACTGTACTTTGTGTACAAGATTATAAAAGCATTTCAGTATCTTTGGTCTAGCAACAGGAAAACAGTTCTCTTACCCAATTACAAATAAGGTTAAAATAAGCCATAACTATGTGGCAAGTTGACATTTATGAGACCAGTGTAGTACATTTAATTGTTTCTGCTGCCATTTTGCTATTTATGCTATATTGTAAATGAATCAATAAATAATTTAAAAAGAGATACATAAGCAATACTTGTGGCAGCAAATTTTAAGTATAAAATTTATCACCTGTCTGGGTTAATTTTATCTAAAATATCTCATTTGTATGAAAAAAGGTAGACAGTTATCATAAAGAGGTCAATAACAATCACATAACCTGTGACATAATAACTGGTTTCAGGCTTATAGAGAAACTTGTGATATGTACTACTACACAAAAATGTCTTGTGATGTACTAACTGTCATGAATGTCTCAGGAGTGAAGTTAAATGAGCCCAAAATGTGAATACCTCTAATCTAGGTTGTCAAGTCACAGGTATTGCCAAACTATGATGACTAACCACTCCCTAGAAGCAGAACATAATTTTTGAAGAATAAAAAATTCAATACTGTTTTGAAGGGATTTTTGAAAAAAAAAACTGACTTGATAAACTTGCTAATTTTAAAAAAATAGAAAAATCTAATTCAACTAGACTAAGATTATGTACATGAGAAATGAACTTGTGAGAGATTAATGTATTCACGAAGGCTTTCACGGCCGGGATCTAATGGTTGCTGTGGATTTTTCGGGCTCTTTGGCCATGTTCTAAAGGTTTTTCTTTTGGGGGATCATACATACAAAAGACCAGCTAATGACACCCATCAATCACAGTGACAGATAATCTCTGCTCCTTATCACAAGAATACACCCACAACAAGACACACTAATCGCCCATCTCCAGAAAAGGACAAAAGCCTATCTGACAGCCATAAATACTCCACTCCCAAGCTAACTACACCAGAGCACAGAGTGCTGTCCTCTGAAGATGCCGGCCACAGAGACTGGCGAAACGTTAGGAAGAAAAATCTTCAGAACACAGCCAAAGAGCCCGAAAAATTCACAACCATTGTGAGAGATTAACTTGTATCTCATCACACTGAAGGTTACCAACATGATCCTGAAGATATTTTGCTTATGAAATCACTAGATGGTCCCAGGATCCCAAGTGCAAACTCACAAAATTTTTGCAAGACAAAACAAAGAAACAAACAAAACAAACTGGTAACTAATGAAAAATACTCAGCTACAGATAACTCAAAATTATAAAACTGTGTATCAGTATACAGTATGTTAAGAGACGTTGAGAAATGTTCTACTGTTCCCCTAACAATGAAATCAGGACCAATTTGTATTTTCAGCAGCGCAGCTGAATTACTGTACAGAATTTCTTTGGTCTCGTGAATATCTATAATCATATTAAAAACATATTTAATCCATTTGATTGGAATAATATTGATACTTGGTTCATATGATCCCAAAAATTCAAGTAACTGAATTTGGTGGCTGGTGACAGGCAAAAAAATATGCTGCCAAGGGAAGCTTGGATGGCTTGTCCTCTGTTGTTCTTCCTTTGGCAGGCAAAGCTCTTTATACTCAGGTAGACCAACCTGTTGTTGAAAGAAATCTAACTCTTTGAGAACTGGCTTTGTCTTTTATTCTCACTTTTAAAATTTACTTGTTTTTAACATAATGTTTTTAATTTTTATCTTTTTAGTAGTCTTTATTATTAATAATTCCGAACAGCTGTATCTTAGTAGTAGTAGTAGTAGTTCTGAGCACCTTTTTTATATAGAAAGGTGAAACATAAGTAAAACAAACAGCAGCAGCTCTCTTTAGATCCACTGTAATCAGATCTTACATCAATGATGTGTATGCATTTACTTCAACTTCTTACTGTAAGAATGACTGGGACTGACAACAGGCACAGCTAGAAGGAAATCTGGCATTTCCCCTGAATTAAAAAGAGGTCTTGAAGTTAAGGTGATCTCCTGCTGTACTAGAATCCGCTGTCAAGAGCTCATTCACAACTGCAAAGATTTGTCAAACTTCAATAGACAGAAACACTTCTCATACATATAACACTATGCTAAAAGAACACCAAAGGAAAATGTATGCTATTTGTGCCACTACATTTATCTTACATTAGTGTCACTCAACCTCAGTATGTTGCCATGGAAACAGAAATTTTCTACGGTATCACTAAAAATACATATTAAAATTGGCATTATAGTTTATGCAATTTGAAATGAAAAAGCAAGCTATTCTTTGACTTTGGATTTAAGTTAGGGATTTAAACATTTTCTAGCAATTATGGTCAAAATGTAGATTTATATTTTATATATAACAAGATAAGTAAGCCATAAACTTTCTGATTTACATAACACATGTCATTCCTTCACATGCAATTTTCACAATGTCCTCAAATTGCTGTTAACAAACTATTTGAGCCTTCTATGGGCTTACAGACAGATATTTAAAATATCAACATGTGTGCACAGAGACACACATGCACGCTTTGCACTTGAAGCCTGCATTTTAAGATTAGGGATGATCATGGATCTCAATCAATTACTGTGAAAACCAGCTACATAACTCCTACGTCCACTCTAATTGGTTTTCTATATGGCTCAGACAGTGCTGTAAAATTTCTTCAAATTTTGAAGCTGTTAGAGGAAGACTAGCTTTCACCAATTTTTCATCCAGAAAAAAAAACTTAAGAAAAATTAAGAAACACTTATTTTCATATTAAACCTAAATTTATTTTATAGCTTGAGCAATATAAAACATTTCACTCATTTAAAAGTTGGGATATAAAGTTACACTATCCAACATATTTATGACACTTTTAAAATGCCTTAGTTTTGAACAAATCAAATTGCTATTCTAAACTGTTGTGCCCTGTTACCTGTGCACCTAATATATTTGTACCATCTGAGAAGGATGAAATAAATTACATTAGGAATGATTAGGTTTGTAGACAAAATTTGGACAGTGCTAGTCTACTGTGGCAGTTTGCACCTAACAAAGACAACATGTATACAAACAGTAGGAATATAAAAGCAACAGTGTCCGCCCTCTCCACTGCCCCTGTACACTGCTAACAAAGACCGTAGTATCTGCTATGTGTCTCAAATTTGAGTATTAGTTATGCCTACAGTGAGCTGGTATACTCCAGTGGGAAGGAGTTGGTAGCGAAGCAGCCAGAGGCTAGGAGTACAAATCCCTACTGATTCTCCTGGAGTCAGCTGAGATCAACTGGAGCATGTGTGGTTGATGGGCTTAGGTAGCTTTCCTTGTAATCTGCGTGGCTTTGGGCAAGCTGCACAATCCCAAAATGCCCCCCCCCCAGAAGGAGGGAAAGGTAAGCTACTGCTGAATATTTCATAACTAGAAAACCCTGGGAAGGATGTCATCAGTTAGAATTGGCTTAATCACATAATCACACTGATGCCATTTCGGCGCCAAGTCAAAACCTTCCTGTTCCAGAAGGCTTTTAATTGAAATAATATCAGCTGTGGGTCTGATGGCAATTTTTAGAATATATATTTTAATTGCATTTTAATTATTTTGTCTTTTTATTGTATTTTAAATGTTGTAAGCT